TGGATTTTTCCAAGATAGTGAATTACAGGCTGAAAAATGGCTACAAACCATCGATCTTCCCTATTTTTCCTGAAATTTCTTTTGCAATCCCTACTCGAGCTATGTGAGAGATAACAGAGGCTCCCAATGAAAGCACCAATGTTGGTCCAAAATAGGATGCTCGTAGGCTTTTAGGAAAGCTGCGTACGACACTCAAGCAAGAATTAGGAAAGTACGAATATGGAAAGTTAGCCAGAAATAGCATATATAATTCGCTTCCCCTAATTTGAATTACAACCCGCCTTTTATAGGCGTATACAAATCGTAATTGCTATTGATAATAATGACTAATTAATTACAACACTAATACGGAATTAAATACATAATTAATAGCGCATTAATTGCTTGACCGTTACTCTTCTGGGCTGGAAAGTTGCCCAGACTGGCAGACTCCCCACTGGGCTGGCAGACAGGCTCCAGGTTGTGGACTTGGATCCACGGGTCCAAGTTCGGGGCTTGGGTTGATTAGGTTCTGGGCCCAGTCCCATTACTCCATCAATATGATTTTTTCAATATCTTAGTGATAAAATATGTGTTCATTTATGTATGCATTTGTTTTTACTTTTACATGAAACTACGTAGTATATTTTTGTATATGATTGACGTTTATCTTTTGTTATGACGTTTACCGTCGCGACAAAACGAAACAAGATAAAACTAGTGACCTTGTTTTATTTTTATTATTAACCAGACAATGGAATACCTTGTATTACAATGACAGGTGCACCATTATATTATGAGCTTAACTATTCATAATCCCAATGACAAGAGCCATCAATATTGTAGTGATAGAATTGTTGGGTGTTCACTTCTCTGCCTCAGACCACACTCAACGATCACACAAAGCATCACTCAAACTCACATAAGGGTAACACACTCAGTCCAGTCCTATCTATCTCAACACTCATCGGACACACAAAGGAAACAAAGTAGAAGAAGAGTTCCCACAAAAGAATGACGGGGAGTAGCGATTCAGAGAAAACCATAGCTCTCTCTCTCTGATCTCTTTTCGTACTCTATCTCGGTTGAACGAACATAAGGCACTCGCACCAAAGAAGACTAAGGCCAAGGCCTTATATACCAAGGGTTTTAAAGAAACCCTAGGAGACGGTTCCAGAAACGGGCAAGGGGGCGGAGTAGCTGCGCTAGACACAAGCATAGGGCTAAACTTGGTTGGGTCAAACAAATGGGAGATGGACTGCCTTAGCATAGCCCATAAGACCATACCTCCACATTCCAACTTTATTGGCTTATGGGTGATGCTAAGTAACACAAAGAATGGGTACGTGATTCATCATTGTCGGGTCACCAGTGACATCCAAACGGACATGGATCGGTGAACATATTGGAGATGCACAAATACACTCTAGGGTCACAAGGACCCCAAAAAATGGAGAGGTACACAGACTCTCAAAGTCATAAAGACTCAAAACAAAAAAACAAAAAACAAACAAATTACCATTCACAATCCAAGTTCACAATTTGTTTACAATCTAATAGTTTGTCTGCGGGTAGGCACTTTGTTCCCATATCAGCAAGGTTAAGTGCAGAAGGGGTCTTGGACAATTTTATCTTACCTCCATCAACAAAATCACAAATAAAGTAAAATCTAACGTCAATATGTTTAGTTCTATCGTGGAAATAGGGGTTTTGCACAGTTTAATGGTAGATTGGCCATCAAAAAAATAGTAACATCCTTTTTAAGGTAACCAATTTTAGAAACAAGACGTTTGTAACACCATCCCCAATTATATTTACTTTTAAGCAAATAATGTAATGAACCTTGTTAAATGGGTAATGAATTTATGAAGTTGTAAATTTCCATTATTTCTTTCGTGCGAATACTATATTGCCCGTGGGGCCCACACCGGGAGCGGGGGGCCGCCCGACGTTCCTGAGACCACATATTTTAGTCATCTTAGTAAAGATAATATTCATATGGTGGTGGATATTTTATTTGGGTCAAGGAAAGGCCCGGAGTTGACCGATTGGGCAACAGAGGCCCAAATACCGGTACCGACAATTTAACAGATAACAGCCTGGAAATGGATTTCGGAGGCTTATAAATTAAAAGTTAGGAATGTATATTCATCATAAAAGTTATAATGAGTAAGAGCACATAATATATTTTAATTGACCCGATAAAATCAAATATATTTTAAACAGTCCGAAAAATACAACTTTCGGGACCAATTGTACACTTCGGGACGAAAAGGGTTGACCTCCCACATGAGTGGGGGCCAACCCACGATTTTTGCCACTCAAATTGAGGGCTTGGCCGGTTAGTAAGATAGGAGAGCATGGGAGGGGGGACCTTGAGAGGAAAGAAATGGCATCAACCATAAATGAGGTGGCCCCATCCACACTCATTGGTTCAATGAGACAAAGAGGTAATCCTCACCCCCCTCTCCCTCATTTTTCGGCCAAACTACACCCCCAGAACTTAAAGTCCTTAACACTCGGATAATAAATTGGTGGAGGACATTAAGACTAAAAGTCCTTAACACTCAAATACAAATTGGTGGATTACCTAAGGATTATGATCCTCAAAACTCATAGATTATGATATTGAAGTATGGACAAGGAGGAGTCCTATACACTCATAGGCATATGGATGGGTTGAAGTTTTTAGTCAATGATATTGACTATTAATTTTTACCCAAATAAAATGGTGATCTACGGATCGGGTATTTTCCAAGTGTATACGTACTACTAAGTATTTCTTAACTTAGAGGGGGGGGGGGGGGGGGGGGAGACTATTTATATAAGTATCACCCTATGTTTGGGTCTTATACTTGAAACGCTAGTTATTCTATATTTAGCCTGCTACTCGCTCGGTACTTGTACTGACCCCTTCGGAGGGCCCCACCATTTCAGGTTGAAGCTAAGGCTTGTCATCTACACCTTTGCACGGGTAAAGAGAATCCAGAGGAAGACGTGGTTCGTGCTCCCTCTACTATTTCAAAAGATAAACTATGCTCATGGATACTTTTGTATTAATACATTGTTTTGGCCTGCGAGCCTACGTTTTGGCCATGTGTGGCCCACGATTGATTATTGAATATTTCCACTATTCAACTAATCTAAAATGTGATGTTGTTGTGTTTGTTTACTACTGAGTATGGATATATATTATGTTCATGGACGCCTTGTATGATTAAGACATGTTGACTTGCGAGTGACGTTACTTGATCATACGGCGGTTGTATACGCGCCTAGATGCGGTCCGGGGCGTGACAACGTTTAAGTCAAATAGCCTCTTTGAAGGCTTTCATGGCAACAACATATTCAGCCTCTGTAGTAGAGAGTGAAACAATTGGATGCAACTGAGACTTCCAGCTGACACAAGATCCACAAAATGTGAAAATGTAGGATGTGGTGGACGTCATGTTATCCCTGTCATTTGCATAGTTTGATTCTATACAGCCACACAATTTAACTCCTTCAGAAAGCTTAGCAAAAACTAACCCATGATTAACATAATCCTGAAGGTACCTTAACAACTATTTCAAGGCATTCTGGTGCATAGTACCACGTTTAGACATATATCTACTTAAGCAACTAACAACATAAGCAATATGAGGTCTAGAACTAACCATCAGATACATCACAGAACCAATGACATTAGAGTAAGTCACAAACTTCATCTTCTCAATTTCAGGAGCAGTCTTTGGGGACTCATTTTTACTTAACACAAAATTAGTGTCTTTTTTGTCCATATTAATAGTAGGTCTCATTTTTGTCTATTCAAATGCCCCAAGTATTATTTTTGTCATTATTCCATGACTATGGGGTGTTTGGATCTGATTCATAAAACTGCTTCTGCTCCTTCAGGGAGCAGAAGCAGAAGTTGGAGTGTTTGGGTGAAAGTACAGAAGTGGTTCTGGTGCTCTAATTAACTTCTAGAATCAGTTTTTTTAGAAGCTGGGGGTAACTACCTTTTGAAAACTGATTCTGATTCTGTTTCTGCTTAAAAAAAAGCAGAAGCAGAACCAGTTACAAACACCCCCTATATATATGTGATATGAATTAAGATCAATTAAAAGTCTAAAGGGGAAAAAGTGAAAATAAGCCCTCGAACTAATAAAAAAAGTGCAAATCACCCCTTTTATACGAGGTTATGTCTGTCCGTCGTCATTTGGGGCGGTTACCGGTGAAACTTTTTGATGAATTTTTTTGAGCATCTTTTTCATTAAATCTAGTGTACTCGTACCAAATTTCAGGTAAAAATTCAACTGGGAAGGCAGTCAAATAATTTTCTAAAATATATTGCGTTGTTTAACCGCGCAGTTATCTTCAAACATTTATTTGTCTGCCTTCACGATTGAATTTTTAGTTGAAATTTGGCATGGTTAAACTAGACTTAATGAAGAAAATGCTCAAAATATTTCATCAAAAAATTCCACCTGGAACCGACTCAAATGACAAAGTCTGGACCTTTTTCGATTAGTTCCGGGCTAAATTTTAGTAAGCATTTACTATAGAATCCTAATAAAACTGTACCTCAATTAGCACCTCACTGGCTCAATCCCCTCGTCCAAGCACCGTTGCAGAGCAGCAGGCTATCCCGTCAAAGTCTTGGGCTACCTGAATTTAAACTGCTGAACTGCATATTTTTTCAGTTTTTTATTTTCTCTAGAAAGATGGATAGCAGAAGCAATGGAGAACTTCCAGGCGATCACCCAGACTTTCACCGCAACTCTCACACTGCGGCGCCGTCGGGGCATTCCGGCGAGTGTATCACTCAAAGTAACGGCGTTACCGGAAGAAAATTTCCCGGGGACGCCCACCACCACCACCGTCAGCGCTGCTACCAGCAGCCGCATGAGCACCAAAACAGTTACTCTGACAATCACCACCATCAAAACCCAACTGTCGAGCCAAATAATTCCGTTAATGGCGCAGCCAGTCGCAACTTCAGCCATTCTCCGCATACATCGGGGCGTAAAAGGCCCCTCTCCCACTCACAACCACCGCCTTTTTCTGGTACGAAAATTATTTTTGTTGATTTGTACTCCCGCACGTTGACTCTCGTTTAATCATTTTCAATTTCAATTGCTTGTTTTGAGTCCAGTTAAGTTCGTAGCAGAAGTACTGTTTCTTCCCTTTAGATTAATGCCGGTGAATTTTATTGTATCTTCTTCCTTTTAGATGGATTAGAAGGCGGGGGATTTGTTAAGCTATACGTTGGAGGAGTTCCAAGAACAGCTACAGAAGAAGATGTATGCATTATTAGCTTTTGAGAAACATATGTACATATAACATATGCTACAAAGCACATCCTAGTAGTTATTATGTATAATTAATACGAAGTAATTATGAAGCTTAACACCTTTGGACCTTACTTCTTTTTACTGGAAACCTGATGTCCATAAACGAGTGTATTGAGCATGTGTAATGCTCGGAAAAGCATATAAACTATTTGAAGCTTTTATGACAAATACAGCTTATAGTTTAAACTTTTCATACAAGATAACATCTTTTCATTTAAGTTTGTGATTCTATTTTTTTTTGGAGGGGGGAGGGGGGCTGGGGGCTGGGGGAGGGAGGGGCCACTGGTGAGTTAACACAGCATTGCTTGGTCGAAGGCCTAGCTCGCTCCATCGAGGTCTGGATGGTCATGACTGTTGGAACTAATCATGACCATTCCGGTTTCACAGCTGTTGGGTTGAACACAACCTTATCTTGGATTGTTGCATTTCCTTGTTTTTTAGTAGAGTTCTGTGTATATGCATACTGGAAGTCCTAAGCTTAGTTATCTAATGCAATGGAGACAATGTCTAATAATGCTCTATTATACTGTATTTGATTCATATCAGGAAACACAGATTCATAAAAGAGTAACACCTGTCTCCCGATATTCATGTTTGTTTGATTATAGCCATAGCGTGCTCTCTCTCTCTCTCTCTCACACACACACACACACACACACACACACTCACCCAATAAGTGGATTTATGAGTCCTATTTTTTTCAACAAAGTGAAGGCATCATTGGTCACTATTTTCTAGTATGTTACTAGTTTCAGAGCACTAGAATTGTTTCTTATCTCTGTCATCAATTCTCCTTCAGAATGTTTCATAAGCATTAATGTTGGCAGTTGCCCCATTCAACTCCAGATTCGACACATCTTTGGTGAGTACGGGCATATTGTCGAGGTTATTCTCCTCAAGGATAAAAAGATTGATCATAAACAAGGTGTGCAAATGTTTTCAATTTATAATCTACTGGAATAGTCCCATTTTCATTGATCATTTTCTTTTAATTTTTTGCGATGAACCTTTTAGTCAAGCACTTGTAATATTCATGTTGAGCGCCAGTTGATGTAAAAGTTGGTTCTTTATGCATAAATGGAGAGTCAGAGATGCAAGATGCCACTGCTTGATTAACATTGCAAACTCAAAAATCATTTAAAGTTTTCAAATAAAGAAGTATTTATGTATTTCATATTTGGTTATTTGGATGCTCTTATTTTCCTATTATAAGTACAATATCATTGTGCAAACTGTAGTTCGGAAATATCTGTGGTGAAATTTCAAGCCTTCCCTCCTTTTTGGATCTATTCAGGAAACTATACCTCCTGACAATCGGGTGGTGAAATTAGCTTTTGGATTTGTTTTTTATCTATATGTTTTCTGTCTGGAGATAGTATATCATGTAAGATCTTAGATGTTCAACAAAATGTACCTCCTGGCCGTTAGGTGGAGACATTATCTTTTGACTGGAGTGCTTACTAAATCTATGCTTTCTTGAGATATTGTATGTTGTAAGATCTTAGAGTACATTCCAAATTCTAATTTTTACTCCCTCCGTATCATATTAGTTGCAACATTGAAATTTACACACTATTAATGAACACTACTTTGACTACATTTTATTTATTAATGTATGTGAATTATTTTTTTTGAAAAAGATTGTTGAATTCGTCTCATTACAAAGTTTCATTGTTGATAAAACGAAGAGACATCATTAATCTAGGATTTATTTTCCTTATTATTACTGTAATTATGTGTCTTTAGTGCTTCAAGTTGTATTTAATAGCTGCTGTCTTTTCAGCTCTCAATCATTTATGTTTAGTATTTAGACAGTCACCTAGGGTGCTGAATAGACTCTCTCAGGATTCCTATCTGTATAAATAGCTTATGTACTTCTTGTAAATGAATACAAGGAAATAATATTCAGAAAACTTCATGGTATCAGAGCTTGGTTTTGTCTAAGCCTTTTTTGAGTCTATCACCTCTCCAACGGTCATTTTTTGGGTGTCTCTACCCTTCTCTCTCTTTAACTCCCGGTGGAGTCTCTTCATCAAGGGTTTTATCATGTCTAAAGAAGCCGAATCAGCCTCAAGTAACCTTGATCACTCAACCATTGTTTCAGCTGCTACTGCAGCCGCATTTGCTCTTCGAAACCAGAAATTTGATCTCCCTTCTATCCCGCCATCTTACCGTCTCAATGGCAGGAACTATCTTGGGTGGTCAAAGCTGGTTTACACTCTCCTACGTGGCAAAGATCTTGAAGACTATCTCACTGTCTCTACCCCAGAAGAAGGAGAGATTGATGCTGCTAATTGGGAGAAAACTAATGCCAACATACGGGTCTGGTTATGGGACTCTATGGACCCCAACATTAGCAGTACATGTTTATACATGGACTCTGCTAAAGAAATCTGGGATTTCATACAGCAGTCCTACTCTGTTGCTAAAGATGGCGCTTTTGTCTATGACTTATGGCTCAAAACAACGAATCTTAAGCAAGATTCACAATCTGTCACAGATTATGCAACTGACCTCCAACGACGATGGTCTGAACTTGACCAGTATCAAACGATGAAGTGGTCGAATGCTGCAGATGCAGCTCTTCACAAGAACTATATAAATCAGCAACGTCTATATTGCTTCTTGTCTGGTTTAAATCCCGAATATGATCAGACTCGGGGTCAAATTCTTGGCATTACTCCTCTGCCTTCCATATCTTCTGCCATTGCCACTATCAAACATGAAGAGAGCAGACGCAATATAATGATGAATACAAATCTGATTGACAGTACAGCTCTTGCTGCCAAATCTACTCCTTCAGATGTTAAGGAAACTAAGGGTAGTAAGGGAGGAAGATGGTGTGATCATTGCAAGCGGTCCAACCATAATGTGGATACATGCTGGAAACTTTATCCTCATCTACAGAAAGAAAGAAAAAGCCAGGACAGACGTGGAACTAGTGCTGGACGTGCCAACTCAGTCACTCCCACTATTGTTGAGAGCTCTACTAATCTTTGGCCCATTTCCCAGGAGGAATTAAAGCAAATTCGTATGATGTTACAGTCTCTTAATAACTCAAATGGTTCTGGTCATAGCTCTTTGGCCCTGCAAGGTAAAACCTCTACTATTTTTTGTCTTAATGCTTCAGAACAGAGTTCACAATCCCAATGGATATTAGACTCAGGTGCCACATCTCATATGACTGCCATACCCTCTTTACTCTCTAACTATCATCCATGTTTTACCACCACACACATTACTACCGCTGATGGGACACCTACAAAGGTTGCGGGACTTGGTACGGTTGTTTTTTCTGAAAAATTAAATCTGAAAAACACCCTACATGTCCCAAACCTGGCTATGAACCTTGCTTCTATTTACAAACTCACAGTTGATCTTAATTGTGCTGCCATTTTTTTCCCTTCCCACTGTTTATTACAGGATCTACACACGGGGAGGACGATTGGAATCTCTAAACAAAGAGATGGCCTGTACTACCTTGATGCACTGTTTGTCTCCAAACCTCCACAAAAAGCTCTTACCACAATCACAGCCAATATACCAACACTATTTGGCTTCACCACAAGCGTCTTGGTCATCCCTCTTTTCATGTCCTAAAAACCATGTTTCCTAGTCTTTTTAGTAGTATTGATGTTTCTACATTTCAGTGTGATGTCTGTGAACTTGCTAAACAGTCTCGTGTATCTTTTTCTAGAAGTAATACAATCAGTTGTTCTCCTTTTGATATTATACATAGTGATGTCTGGGGTCATGCTCCAATTGCTAATATATCTGGTGTCCGGTGGTATGTTACATTTATTGATGATTGTACACGTTTTATGTGGGTTTTTCTGCTAAAAAACAAGAGTGAGGTGAGTTCCATCATTCCTATCCTTTGCAATATGATTCATAATCAGTTCTCCGCCACAATAAAACGCTTCCGCACTGATAATGCTCTTGAATACTTCAATCAAACTGTTTCCTCTTATTTCCTCTCAAAAGGCATTGTTCATGAGTCCTCTTGTCCGTACACACCATAACAGAATGGCACAGCAGAAAGAAAAAATCGCCATCTCCTAGACGTCAGTCGGGCTTTATTGTTTCAATCAAATATGCCTAAACACTATTGGGGGGAAGCCACACTCACAGCATGTCATCTCATCAATAAAATTCCCAGTCGGGTACTCCAAAATAAGTCACCCCTTGAATCTCTCCGTCACTTCTTTCCTCAAACCAGAATTTCTTCTGATCTTGATCTAAGGGTGTTTGGGTGTACTGCATTTGTTCATATTCCTCCACCTCAAAGGGGAAAATTGGACCCACGATCTATTAAGTGTATCTTTCTTGGTTATTCTCCAACTCAGAAAGGATATAAGTGCTATAATCCTACAACCAGAAAGACATACACCAGTGCAGATGTGACCTTTCACGAAGACACACCTTTTTTACACTCCTACTTCTCTCCCTGTATCCCAAGATACTCCACATCCTTCACCTCTGCCCACCTATACTATTACATCTTCTCCACCACATACAATCTCCTACCCTCCTAAGCCTTTATCACCAGACATCCCATCACCACCACCACCACCACATGATCATCCATCACCTTCCTTAGATGTGTCAGCAACCTCACCTACTTCCCAACAGTCTTCAACATCACCTGAACCTCAATCAAATACACCACCAGACCATCCCATTCCTACACCTACTAAATCCACCACTCATGACCCATCTTCTCCTCTACCAGTGACAAAAGTGTACTCAAGGAAAAACAGGTTCACTCCATTGTTGACGCATGACCAATTGGCTGACCCAGGTAATGTCTCTTCTTCTCCACCACCATCTCCGCCAATTGCTTTACGCAAGGGTGTATGTCAATGTACCAAAACACCTCTATACCCTCTTGCTAATTTTGTTACCATTGATAACTTCTCTCCTTCACATGCCTTGTTTGTTCAGAGACTTAATGAAATTCCCATACCCAACTCTGTTTCTGAGGCATTAGGAAAGAAAGAATGGAGGGATGCTATGCAAGAGGAAATTAGAGCTCTTGAAAAGAACCATACTTGGGATATTGTGACTAAACCTCCTGGGAGGCATGTTGTTGGTTGCAGGTGGATCTTTACTGTCAAATACAAGGCTGATGGATCTCTTGAGCGGTACAAAGCTCGTCTTGTGGCTAAAGGATACACTCAGACGTATGGGATTGACTATCAAGAGACCTTTGCTCCTGTAGCTAAGCTCAATACTGTCCGTATCCTACTATCCTTGGCATCTCACTTTGATTGGCCTTTATTGCAATTTGATGTCAAGAATGCTTTTCTCCACGGTGACTTGCATGATGAGATCTACATGTACATTCCCCCAGGCTTTAATAAAACATCAACAAGAACCTCTACACATGTATGTCATTTAAGAAAAGCCCTCTATGGTCTCAAGCAATCCCCTCGTGCTTGGTTTGACCGTTTCACACAGGTTGTTCTTGCTGCTGGGTATAGTCAAAGCCAAGGGGATCATACTCTTTTTTACAAACACTCTCGCCCAAATGGAATCACTATTCTTTTAGTATATGTGGATGACATCATTGTGACGGGTAATGATCCAGTTGAGAAACAACGTCTTGAGGGGCAGCTGAAATCCAAATTCGAGATGAAGTCTCTTGGCCCTCTAAAATACTTTCTTGGAATTGAAGTTGCTCGCTCATCTGAAGGCATCTTTATCAGCCAACAAAAGTACATTACAGATTTGTTAAATGAGACTGGTAAGAGTGCTTGTCGACCGGTTAATGCACCTATGGATCCTAATCATAAGCTTGGACTTGCTACTGATGAACCCAAGGTTGATTCATCAATGTATCAGCGCTTGTGTGGCAAACTTATCTATCTCTCTCATACTAGACCTGACATTGCCTATGCAGTTAGTGTTTTGAGTCAGTTCATGCATGATCCAAGGAAACCACATCTAGAAGCAGCCTATAGGGTTCTTCACTACCTAAAAGGAAGTCCAGGGCAAGGGATAATATTCAGGAAGGGTGGGCAATTATCAGTCCAAGCCTTCACTGATGCAGATTATGGTGGCTCCCTCGTTGACCGTCGGTCAACTACTGGTCTCTGTGTTTTCCTAACAGGAAACCTCGTGACATGGAGAAGCAAAAAACAGAATGTTGTGGCATGATCATCTGCTGAATCTGAGCTAAGAGCTCTTGCCCATGGCTTATGTGAACTTCTATGGATCATAATTATTCTCTTAGATTTACGAATCAAGTGGAAAGGACCAATGGAATTGAGGTGTGATAACAAATCAGCAATCAACATAGCTCATAATCCAGTCCAACATGATCGGACCAAGCATATTGAGATTGATAGGCACTTTATCAAAGAAAAGGTTGAAGGAGGTCTGATCGAACTAAGCTACACTCCCTCAGAAGATCAAGTTGCAGATGTGTTTACCAAACCTCTGCACAATCCTAGGTTCCAGGGTCTTATTGTCAAGCTAGGCATGACGGATATCTACAAACCTAGCTTGAGGGGGAGTGTTGATAAAACGAAGAGACATCATTAATCTAGGATTTATTTTCCTTATTATTACTGTAATTATGTGTCTTTAGTGCTTCAAGTTGTATTTAATAGCTGCTGTCTTTTCAGCTCTCAATCATTTATGTTTAGTATTTAGACAGTCACCTAGGGTGCTGAATAGACTCTCTCAGGATTCCTATCTGTATAAATAGCTTATGTACTTCTTGTAAATGAATACAAGGAAATAATATTCAGAAAACTTCATTCATAATTTGATTTTTAAAATTATTTTACTAATAGGGAATTAAATATAATGATGGTCAAAGTTGTGCATTGGTAAGCGTGAAAAAGGGAATGTTGCAACTAAAAAAGAACGGAGGATAGTATAAAGTAATAAAACATAAAAGAAAGACAGAAGTAAATTTAAGCATACGAGGGTGAGTGTATACCTTTTTTTAAAGTATTTTGTCATCCACGTTCCGTTATTGCAAGGATCAAAGCATCTTACTATAGGTTACTGAAAGCATCTTACTATAGGCTTGTTACCTTTTCATCTAATTCCCCCCCCCCCCCCCCCCCCCCCCCCCCCCCCAACATGCAAAAGACTTCAAATTTCATTTTAATAACCAATGAGGTTCTTATCTGTTCATATTTATTTGTGCAGTACATTGATAATGTGCTTGACTGCTTTTTACTCTTAAAATATGTTTGACGCCGTAAAAATATGCTTCTGCTCACTGTTTCCCCTATTGCAAAAGCTTTTACTGCTCTAGTTAAGGTGGATAAAGCGGTATAATTGTCTTAATCTAAATACTGTCAATGATCATTGTATTGCTACAATATTGTATGTCTTACTTTACAATCTCATGCTTGACATTTGCAAAAAACTATGCTCTTTGTACTCATTATTCAAATGAGGCCTAAGAATTAGCATTACTGCTTTAGGTGATTTTTTCTGTTAATCGCATGATTTGCTTGTATGTTGATTTGCAGTGAGTTGTTTTGTGAAGTTTAGAACACTGGATGATGCTGATCGAGCAATTGTAGCATTACATGATCGGCACACCATCCCTGGGGTTAGTTTTCCCACACATATGGGCTTAATATGTTTTAGCTTTCACACATAAGATGCATTTGTGTCCTGTTATTTGATAGATGCTTTTCTTCTTTCAGGCTCACTGTCCATTACGAGTTAGGTACGCCGAGGGGGAGCGGGAACGGCTAGGTGAGTTTCTTTCAAAATTATGTTTTTAAGTAATGTTGCTTAATTTTACATGAGGTGCTTTGGTGTGTACATGAAGAAGTGTCTAAACTTTTGCATAAGGATTTCAATGTTCACATGTCATGGTGTGACCATGTGAACAGATAGGAGTATATACTCCTCTGAATATGAGACATTAATATTATTTTTATTCTAAATGAAATCTATCTTTTCGATTTATATGCCATTTTTTTCCAAAACACACACTCACACACATATATGTAAATATATATGTAGTATATCTGTATATGTAAAATTTCTCATTTAAACATATAATTTGGATTGCACTAGATCACTAATATTAATAACATTCCAACAGGAGTGTTGAGACTTGAGATAGTCGGTATAGTGATGTCATAACTCCTATTGTTATATCGCAATGTAGATATTGTAAAACCAACATGCGCATTAGGTAACACAGCTCATCTACACAGTGCAATAGTTATGGAAATTCAACATGGCAATGTGATGTAACAGACAATTGCTTACCGTGCGTAGTTGTGTATGCATTAGTATAGCAGTATTTTGCGTGCATTATAATGTTATTGTCTGCCTGTTTCTCTGCAGGCAGTTTTGGTGAACATATACACAAACTATATGTTGGTGGCATGAACAGACAAACTTCCAAAAGGGAAATTGATGAAGTATGCTTAAGTCTTCTGAATTGTTTTCAACTGTCTTTTATATTCTTTGGTGCAGCTGCATGACAAATGTAATTGTCGCTTTTCCAATTATTACCTTTTCACTTTTCACAAGTACCTACACAGTAAATATCATCATGGTTATCTTATGAATAACTGCGACACAATCACTCATTTTATGTTATCAAAATTTATATTCCTTTTTCACCTATGCAGTGACTTTTTTTGTATGCGACTGGTAAAACGTGTCATCATTTTTTTTTGTAAAATAGAATTGAATGGCCAAAATTTATTTTTTGCGACAGCTATTGTAACCATAACTTTTTGTTTCTTATTGACATGGTGAACCCTACGAAGCACATAAACTTCCCACGGCTCACATTTCCCGTTTTTTGGAAACTGTGAAGCATGTTGGAGACTTCAAAATTTTGTTTTACGGACATTTCCGTGATTAAAAGGAATTGGGAAACCCGTTTCCCTAAATAATTAGCATTTCGGAACCTCTGGGATTCCAATTGTTTCTTTTTTGTGGGATTCCTTGATGGAAAATAGTACATTTTTAAAACTTATGCGTGAAACTGTTGCGGGATTTTTTCCGAGCAACATTGTGATATTGCATAGTGCAGTGTATTACTAGATGTGTAATGCATTTTATGTTTAGTTATGTACTAATGTTTAATAATTTCTAATTTTGAACACGTAGACTATATTTATTACTACCACGTTCTTAAATAATTGCAACATGTTTGAATTTTACACTATTCTTATACTCTACTTTGACTACATTTTATTGATTAATGTATTAAAATTTTATTTTTTGAAAAATATTGTGAAGTTTGTCTCATTTCAAATTTTTAACATCTGATTTTTTTTACTATTAGTGAGTTATAAATATATTGATGGTCAAAGTTGTGCATTGGCAAACATGAAAATGGAAGTGTTGCAACTAAAAAAGAATGGAGGAAGTATTAGTTATCAAACAATGTTATGTGAAAAGAATATGCGCATATATAAATGAAAGACAAGTATACATGTATGAACATATCTATAATAATTTCCTTATATTTTTTAATAATTAAGTGTTTCCCCCACATTTCATATCCTATATATTTTTAGAAATCTCATTTCTCGCGTTTCACATTTCTGTGTTACTTATGGAGTTATGGTGAACCTCAAGATGTATATCTTGAGATATATTATAAAAACATTTGTGATCTTTAGATTGGTTTCACTACCAGGTATTTTCTCGGTATGGGATTATTGAATCAATTTTCCTTGTACGTGACCGTGATGATCAAAAGCAAAGTCGAGGTAAACTCTAATTTATCCGTAACTCACTTTTCCACCTTATTTTGGATCTTATTACCTCCACTCTAATAGAACACTCGCAGGAACTATCGAATTATTAAAGAAAGTGTAAACTATTCAAGAATCACTCAGAACTTCCAGAATGCATTAATGGTGAATTTACCACTGAAAATAGAGAAAAGTAGTGAGACTGTTAGAGAAGCCTCAATCTCCCAGCCTGATCCCAATTCCCAACTGAATACTTTCCTACCCTTTATTCCTCCCCTCCCTTCTATTTATAATACCTGTACAATTGTTTTTTCTATTATTAGCCTAATACGCCTGATTCCTATCATATCTTCCCCCTTAGACAACCACCTTATCCTCAAGGTGGGTGATAGGAAACAACTATGATCTTCAGCTTCCTCTTCATCCTTGCGCCTCTCCCTCCCCAATACTTGACTGATTGCTGGACTAGGAACTTCAATACTAGATCCTTTAAGATCACAGACGTTTCGACAGCAGAAACAGAAGAGATATCTAATGAAGTTTCATTCGCTTCAGTAGCTTTCCAGTACTTAATAACAACAAACTTTTCTTTACTTTTCTGCGACTCCTCAGGGGTTCTCTCATTTGAAACTAATACTGTACTGGATGAAAACTTCTCTCTGTACCTTTCAACTTCTTCCTCTCTCAATTCTTTGACTACCTCATATGAAAAGGAAGGCATAAAAAGCTCTAACAAGCAAGAAAGGAGATGCACTATACCAGAAGCAATTCTCCTAACTATGGAACATGAAAGCCTATCTACCATGTAAAACATCCAAAGTTGGTTCTCTTGCAGGTAAGTATTTCCTTCACCAGAAAGAGACATGGCCATTTTCAAGCCTTGTTTCAATTTTACCTTTTCATTTGCTTCAATATATTGTTCCACATAATTTCCCACTGTTTTCTCAGTGATAGAATCTGTAATTCTGAGCTCTCCTGTCAAAGGGCCAACCCACAAGTTGGTAGGTGAAACAAGGGTACTTGGACCTTTTCCATCCCGATGTACGAGAGCAAAAGAAACAGATGAACCACACTTCTCTTTGCATACAACAGTCTCAATTATACTCTCTTGGGCACCTGATTAATTGCAGTCCTTAAAATTGACTTTCTAATTGCATTATTGCAATATCAACATGAAGAGGGAAAAATAAAAAGTCCGGAAAATTCTCAGGGCTTGCTGCAATTGCATATAAACTGTTCTAACCAGGTGGAACCTCAAGGCAACACCTTCCACTGTCATCTATCTTCTTTTCTTGATGTGTCATGTTTTCTAGTCCATGAGTAAGAATTATTTCTTCAAGCAAAGCATCTTTTTGAGGTGAGTTGAAACCTGAATCCATGTTTTCCATACCTTCCGGATCTTCTAGTGGATATCCCATACATGATCCATCAACACCTCCCTCATCTTTACTGGTACATGTGATTCCTTTCAATCCTTCTACCCAATGCTGAGGTTTATTCATACAACCCCCTTTTTCCTTCCATCCCCTCTTGGCTTCATCTCTGAACTTCAAAACTGTGCCTACCCATTCAATGCTAATCATTAGTGTGACTGAATTTTGAAACCATTCTGGATGAGTTCTTCTAGTCACTGCCTCCTTCAGAGGGTTCCAGGTATAAGCAGTTGTCTGCTCCTTCCCCCACGTAAACCCATTCATTGTGATTCCAGCAAACTCCCTCTTCTCCTCATCTGTCGCCCAGTTTAGCTTGAACAATCTGGTTCCCAATTCTGACTTGACAGATTCGTACTTTGAAGAAGCGGTGTCAATGAGAGATCCAGCAATGGTGCCAACTTCAGAGTTCAGGCCCATCTGCAACTGTAGATTGCTCCTTGAGTTCGTCGTCAAGATCCAGTTCCTTGGTTACCGATTCAGGTGGCTTCAACTTGGTATTAATTATTGACTGGGGAGATTCTTGCGCAGGGTGAGAAACATCTTGCGACAAAGCTTGTGAACAAGAAGATTTTTCTCTCGATAGCGTCGCATTCTGACGTGAGTGGATAGCAAATGGGAACACCTGCGGACTGAGAGACGATGACACCTGTAGGGACGATGAACCTGACACAGGGTGAGAATAGGTGAGCCACTGCAAAGTGGAGACTTCTGATTGCGACACAGTATGCGAACTAGGAGAAGTGGTTCGCATCTGCGAACTGGGATAAACGACAAACGATGATGCTGACTGCGAGGAAACCTGTGAACGACTGATAGAAATGGCTTGCGATGATGAACTGTGAGGAGCGACTGGCGAAGACATCTTTGAACCTGTAGTAACCACTCGCGATGACGATCTGTGAGAAACTGCTAGCGACGAGGATTGCGAACTGAGAGAGGTTGTTGGTGACCATGATGAGTCTTGGTTTTCTGATTTCCAATGACGCCTAGAGTCCCTCAATCGGCATCTATGTAGCAAGCGATTCACCTGATCGTTCATGGTCCTCAGATCGTCAAACATTTCTCGCATGTCCTTCAATTTTTTGATTCGTCTCTCCATTTCTCAAGAATCGGTGCTCTGATGATGATCCGATTTAGTCTGTCTCCAGGAGTGAGAGTGCTCTGATACCAATGATAGAACACTCGCAGGAACTAACAAATTATTAAAGTCTTAAAGAAAGTGTAAACTATTCAAGAATCACTCAGAACTTCCAGAATGCATTAATGGTGAATTTACAACTGAAAATACAGAAAAGTGACGAGACTGTTAGAGAAACCTCAATCTCCCAGCCTAATCCCAACTGAATACTTGCCTACCCTTTATTCCTCCCCTCCCTTCTATTTATAATACCTGTACAATTATTATTATTTTTATTATTAGCCTAATATGCCTGATTCCTATCACACTATGTTTCACTAACAACAAAAACATCCAAGCCTTAATCCCAAAAGAGTATGGGGCCGGCTAACAATTGGTGCACTTTCTAATTATCTCTTTTAGCGGCATGATTATTGTGTGTTTTGCTCTACTTTTGATGCATTTAAGTGCTTTAGCCTTACGTGTATCATTTCACATTTTGCTGCAATCTTATAGAATTTGGCCCTTTGCGGATTCTTCAGGATTTAGTTCATATTATTGTTTTTTTTCCTTTTACATATTTTCTAAAATTGCTATTTCTAGATTTTTATTGTCTGTCTACTATGCCTCCCCCTATCATTTTCTTAATGTGGTCTACTTCTCCTGTCTTCAAGGATTTGCTTTTGTTCAGTTCTCTCGTAGAGACATGGCAGTTGCTGCAATCAGTGCACTACATGGGACCTACACAATGAGGGTAAAATTTATAAGCTACTTTGTTGTTTGATATTTGTTTTCACCATTGATGACTGCTTTCCATTTTACTTTTTTAATATGCTTTCAGGGTTGTGATCACCCTTTGATTGTTCGCTTTGCTGACCCCAGGAAGCCTAGATTGGGAGACTCTAGGTTCTTTTCCTCCCAATTCACTCCTTTTATATTCTCAGAAACTGACCTTGATTACTCTTTTCTTTCCGCACCTACAATCTAAAATTCCTTGTTTAGGTGCTAGGTTTTCCTTGGCCACCTACATCTATTTTCCCAAAATTATCCCTGTGTGACCTCACACTGACCTTGCCTAGGTGGTAGGCTCCTGTGTGTTGCTTCCTAGCGCTTTTTAGAACATGGCTTGTTTCTTTAGATTCTTTTTGGATGGAAAGTTTTGGAGAGTTTTGTTTTTTGTGTGGGGGGTTGAGAGAGCTTAGTCTCTATATTAATAATTATATAATGTTTCTGAAATGTTATAGGACCTCATATTATGTGAGTTTAATAAATTAAACAGCGATCGAATAATATGTTGATCTTTCCATTTTTTAAAATCTCAACTACTCAATGTGTAAGAAGACATGGACTAAGCCAGTAAAGCGTATCCTCTAAGACCCTCCAAACAGACCCTTAGTGTGCTTTTTATCAATACTACTACTACATTAGACTTCTAAACCTGGCACAAATGATTCTATCAAGCTAATGACTAAATACAAAGCGTAACTTACCGTGAACATGCTGATGTGCTCCATAAGGAGCATGTTGGTGAGGTGGCTAACCAGGATGCAACCAACTCACAACAACAGACCCTACCAAATGAGGTGGTTGCTGATAGGCCAAGGGGTGTGGAGTATTATATTATGGTGTATGTAAGGAAGGGAAAAAGGGGTGGGAGTTAATAAAGTGTATGATGAGTACTGGAAGATATAAATAGGGTCGGGAAGGCTAATAAAGTTAGGCTGGTTTTCTGTTATGGTTGGCTGGGCTTGGCTAGAGAGAGAAACTGTCCCCATCTACCTCTAGATTCCATTTTACACACTTCCTCTGTAAACTCTACGGAATTGCTCCGAGAATTCCTCAGAATTCCTTTTCATCAATAAACATCAGTTGACTGGAACTGTTTACCTATCAGTTGCATCCTGTTCAACTCCCTTACAACATGCTCCTGATAGACCACATGCTCCATAAAACTACTCAAATATGAAGATGATTTTTCTCAAGTTTCTTCTCCTTTGAATTATCTTCTATGTCAATCATGTGTGCTTTGCTCTACACTTCTGTAGACAGTATTTCATGCTTAACCTGTTTTGGGTTTGACACAGAGCGGCATCTTGTATCAATGAACCTTTTGGTGGACATATGCCACCAAATTCGACCAGTCCAAAGCAGGTATCTCAATTCACCAACCATCACTTCTGCGATGGGCATATTTTGACATCTGTTAATTACCATATGATATTTGGATGAACTTCGGCTTTTTCAAGTGAAGTACTATACTACTATGTAGTGTTTATACATACCAAAACCTTTAGCTGTCTACCTAAAAGAGCATGTAGTATTTCTAAAGCTAGTAAACTTGAGGTTTTTGATATTTATAGAGATAAGGTTCTTCAAAATTCAATTTTGCTTGACAAGAGGGGCTACTCCAAGCTTGGGGCTGCCAGGCGTGTAATCCTTTTTGTTCGGCAATAATATTGCTGTTTTTTAATCCCTTCCCTAACCAACTGTCTAAACTTTGGTCATATATGTATAATGTGTCCAATTTTATATTTTTGCAGTCTCCAATTGTTGGAAACACGCAGCAAACAGTAATGAATGTTTGTGCTGTACTAGAGCAAGCTTTTCCTTCGACGACGTCTTCTGCTAACAAGTCACCTTCAGATACTGACTGTGAATGGAGCGAACATATATGTCCTGATGGGTATCCATATTACTACAACTGCATGACGTGTGAGAGCCGGGTAAGAATATCTGTTTATCGAAATGGATTTCTTCCTTCATCTATATTATTATGACAAATAATAACTCTAAGCATGCTTGACTAGTGGGAGAAACCTGATGACTATGCACGCTATGAGAAACAACTTGAGATGCTTGAGGATCAACAAAATGCACAACCTACCACGGGGGAGGGGGTTGAAATGGATGTTCAAAGGCAGCCATCTACCAAGGAACTCTGGAAACTTTCATCATCTACAGAAAATGCTGCCAATGTAAACGTGACTGGAAAATCTTGTTCTGGTCGAGTCACTCTCAGTAGTACATCACACACTTTTCAGTCACGATCATCACAACATTGAAATTCAATCACATGATTGCGTTAGGTTCAGATGCCATTTACTTCAAGATGTCATTTTTGAGTACTATGTATTTTCAAAAACCTAATTATTGAACACATACACAGATGCAAGCAAGCCCGACAGTTTCTCCAGCTTGTGTATGAATATCATACTGATTTACTGGTCAACAGCACCTAAAGGGATTTGGACTCTTAAGACTAAGATGGACCAAGTGTTGCGATTGCCGGTAATTGGTTTCTGCAAATATGAACTAACCTTACTGCAATAGACATCACTGTTATTGCTGCTGGTGTCTTTCTCTATATCCTTATGTAGGAGGAGATATCACTAGGAGCTTTAAGGGAGAGATATGTGTGTGTCAGTATGTGTATACAGTATAATGTATCGACATATAATCTTCTTTTATGTACTGCCCTATTTGAAGCTGTTTGATGCTACTACTTTTAGTATTTTATTCCTTGCCATTATTGTCCAAGCAGTTCTTGTTTACCACATTGTACAGACTACCTTTTAACTTGGGATGTATTTTTTTCAACATATTACCTTTTTTCTACTTTTAGTATTTTATTCCTTGTCATTATTGTCCATCATTATTGTCCAAGCAAAATGACTCACTAAACTGTCTGCGCTTCTTTGTTATGGAGCATCAGCCAGTCCATTCAATTTTGGATGCGATTTTCACTATGAGTCATCCGGAAACAATCTCTCTGTGCTTTAGTACAGAGGTAAGACTGCGTACATCCGACCCCCTTACCCCACCGTAGGTGGGAGCCTTTGCGGCACTGGGGTAAATGAAAATGTATGTTGTAAACAATTCTTTTTACTGAAATCTTAACAAATTTCAAGATGTTTTCAAAATTTTAACGCCTTTCAATTTTTCCTTAGCTGGGGTTTCACAAAAGGTACATTTCCACTCCTAGCCTCGTAGGGGTAGGGGTAGAGCCGAGGTAAGGCCTGCGTACTTCCAAGTGGAACATATTGGTATGTTTGGACTCGGGCCGGGCCGCCGGTTCCATATGCTTAGGCCCGAGACCGGCCCGGGTCTTGACCGGTTCTGGGCCGGGCCGGGTCCGGTTCATTTTTTTTTAATTCTTATTTATTTCACCCCCGACCCCCCCATCCCCCACCCTAACAGCCCAAACCCCTCGGAAATACCCAGCCCAGCCCAACTAAACCCAGCCCAAACCAAAAAAATCAAAAAAAAAAATAAAATAGGCCCGAACCGGGCCCGGTCCGGCCAGGCCGGTTCTCCTTTTCCCTTACCCGTGCCCGGAACCGGTAGACACCCCGGGCCTAGGCCCGAACCGGAACCGGACCCGGTTTCCCGGGCCGGGTTGGTCCTGCACAGTAGCGGGCCGGGCCGGTTCTCGGGCCGGGTGGCCCGCACCGAGTCCAAGCCTATTTGGTTTGGTTTGGTTTGGTTTGGTTTATGAATGGATATATTGCTCCCAAAGTTTATGCTATTTGTGCATGACTTGGTGTTATTGTGACTGATACTTATTTTGTTGTTGCTTTTGTAAAAAGTGTTATCGTAGCCACATGGGAAATTTTATGTGAGCAGAGGACAAACGGTAGGCTGGGTTGTGATATGAAAAGTTCATGGCAAAATTTAGGATGCTATTCAAATAAAAAATTTGAAGGGCATTCTATATAGTATTTTAAAGTTTGCTACATTTTCCATTTTTGAATGTATTTAAAAGGTTACTACACTTTTCTTTTTTGATAAGTTTTTTCTTTAAAAATACTCAATTACTTTTACTTTATTTTTTACTTTTTATCTTTCCTTTCATACTTTTTGAGTATGTCCTATTTTTTCTACATTGTTCGTTACCCTTCTACTTCTCCTATTTATTACTCATATAATACGGAATTACGGGAATACGGGGTATTGAAGACCTTATCACCTCACAAGTCATTAGTCACAACTCCAAATCCAAATAAAAACACAATTACAACCAAAATATGAGTACGGAATAACCTAATTGGCCGGCAGTTGTTGAGTTTATGGAAGTCTAGAGTGACAGATCATTTAATATTATTATATTAAAAAGGCAATTTGGATATTTGAAGTATATTTATGGCCTTTTATTATGAATATTCTAAATAAAGAGCCAAAGACAAAAAAGTAACCTCTTTAAAAAAATCCCAACAATATGACTTGTGATGTACACATTAGGGATGGACTCGGGCCGGGTGGCCCGACCCGGAACCGGCCCGGGACCGGTACTGTTCCGGCCCGGCCCGACCCGGTGGCCCGGTCAGTGACCGGTCCGGGTAGGCCCGGCCCGTGGGTTTTCCGGTCCGGGCTCGGGTCACCCAAAACAAGGCCCGATCCGGCCGGGCCCGGGCCCGGTTCGGACCAAAAATTATTATTATTTTTTTAATTTTTTTTAAAATTTTTGGGTTGGGCTGGGTATTTTGGGCCATTTGGGGTGGTTTGGGGGTTGGGGGTGGGAGGGGGGTTAATTAGGAAGAGGAAAAAAAAAAATATAATGGGCCCGGACCCGGACCGGACCCGGTGGTTACCCGGGCCGGTCCCGGGTCAACCATTTCTGACCCGCCGGCCCGCCCGGGCCTAGGCCCGACCCGGCCCCGGCCCGGACCCGAGTCCATCCATAGTACACATAGGTTGGAATCCTAGAAACTATCATCTCTAGATTAAGTTAACCAGCCGTCGTCCGTCTACATTAAATCCTAGAAACTAGCATTAAATTCTTTTATTAGAGTGTAACTGAAACTCAAAAATAATGAAGTTATTTTTTTTAAAAGGAAAAAGCTTATATTAGAAATAAACGAGCCAAAGATACATCAATGTCCCAAGCCAAATTCTCCCTCTACCCCAACAAAACCAAAATCCATTCGCCCCCTCACGAAATGATCAGACATAGAAGAGTCCACCCTGCAAAGAGCGAGACTAATCGTTAAATCGGTGAGAGCATAGAGGCTATTAGTGGCTGTATCAGCTTGATTGCCTCCAACAAAAAACACCCTTATAAAAACACACCAATACTCAAGACCGAGTCCCTTATCGAAAGCGAAAATAAAAAAGCATCAGTAAATTGAATCCTTACTAAGAATTAAAAAACACCTAAAATAAAAGTGCGGATGATGGAGTTTGCATGCTTCCATCCCTTCTGATACCACTCTCCCATCCTTCCGTTGTGTGACAGGCGGGCATTGTGGCCCGCCTCCTCCCCGTTTTTTGGTGTTCCTATCTCCACTTTCATTCCTTGTGTTGTGGCTCTTCTTCCCCATGCTCAATTCTCTGACGCTTTTGTTCCAGCTTATCTCCCACATACGCATTCTCCTTCCCCTGTTGATGTCTGCTCTGCTCATCCAAATTTCCCATCTCCGCTCCTCCCTCAGCCTCTTTCCTTTCCCTTTACCATCTGGGACTAATCATCTATTCCCCCCTCTTTCACATATCCCTTCGAAGCTCGCAGTTCCTCCACTTCTGCCTATACCATTTGGATAGCGCGGGCAATACCTTTCTGCATGACCAATAATGCCGCAGGCAAAACAGAAACTAGGCAATTTTTCATACCTAAATTTAACACAAAAATTTCCCCCTTCATCTAATTGGAGGAACAGTTTCCTTTTCAGAGGTTTATTCAAATCAATACTAACTCTTATTCTCATATAAGGATTTCATTTGACTTCAAAGTTTTTTCGTCCACTTTAATAAATTTCCCCACAAAATTACCAATTTTTATGACATTTTTCTCAGAAAAAATCACACTGGCACATCATTCACTTGTAACCAAAAGTCAGCCTTATTCAGAGGCATCGCCATAGGCAAGTCTCCTTGCTTTAGCTTAGCGAGTACAATTAGGTTCTGGTCGAAAGTTCATGGTCCTTCCTCCGGAACTCGAAGCATATCACTTTCCCTGTAGAATTGGAACATATATCAACGAAGTTATTTGTTAATTAAACATGTTATGCCATTTCTAACATTCATTTTCGGCCAGGTCTTCAGTCGAAATTATGTGTTTGAGAAAGATGATGGAACTGCCATAATCGTAGTGATTGAAGTAGCATGAAAGTGGTAGTAACTATGGATGGTCAGTTTCAATGACTATCATCTTTGTGGTAGTCACTTAGATGGAACTGCGTACGTAATCAAAGTCACTGAAATAATACAATAGTGATACATGATAGTCACTTTTAGTTATGGAATGAGTATGTATTGTTAGTAACTAAATGGTTATGAATATGGTAGTCATTGTGGTGGAACCATTGCATTGTTTGATTGCATTGTTTGACCTACATGTTAGTCACTGATTCACTGTGAGGGGTTAAAAGATGCTAGTCACTATATTTGAATGTAAGTGGCATGATTACTGGAACGATATGATTTGGCAGTCTCTTTTGCAGTATTCATTTTGTAGACTAATAGATACTTGTGTATTGGTTGTATCATTTGCAGCCCCCAATGAAGTCACCGGAACCCTAGCCGCTTCTCAGTGAAACCCTAGCCACCTCAACCATGTCACTGAAACCCTGCTAGAGGGTTTTCCGCCGCAGGGGTAAGGAAAATCATTGCAAGTGTAAACCTAAAGGCGGTCGTCGCTGGAGCTTGCCGCCGCCGCCGTCTTTATATTATCAGAAGGTATTGCCGTCTACAATTCAAAAATCGGAGCCCCATCACCATTGTTGTGTGAGAAGGTGAGGGGGGGGGGGGGGATAAAAAAGGTAGACCGGTCGGGGAAGATTTTGGCTAGACGTGTTGATGGCAGTGGGCGGCTGCATGTGTAGGGTGTAGTGGGTTGTTGCGCTTTGAGGGAGACGTAGGTCCGAGGCTTGAGGAAGAAGAAGATGGTAGTTCCAAGTGGATGTTTATATTGAGAACGTAAGTAATAGAGAGAGCCGAAAAGCCGGACATTCATAAACGCAAAAAGTAGTTATATTTTTGAAGTCAATTTTAAGGAAAAATAAAAAGTAGTCATATTTTTGGCTTGCCCCTTTATTCTTATTAGTCAGATAGGTTTGGAGCCTTATACAATGTGATGCACTACTAGAAAAATGCCTTACAATGACACCAAATTAGTGTCACTGAAAGTTTCTGTAACACTAAAAAAGTGTCGTTAAAAGTGGGGGCTAGTGACACTACAAGTGACACTTTTTAAGTGTCACTACAAGTGTCACAGAATTATGACACTACAATATCACAATATAGTGACATATTGAAAACATAGCTATTCGGCGACACTTTTACATCATACTCTAGTGACACTAAAGTATCATTAAATAGTGATACATTGGCGACACTACGATATTACAAAATTTAATGACACATTAATACTATGAAATCATACACATGATACATTGATTACAATCATAATTTAATACTAATAAATAACCAAACGTTCAAATATTTTTATTTATATCTCAAATTCATACATAAATGTGATTGTACATTCTACATAATTCTAAATAATTCATAGGGACATATCACGAAACAATAAGTAAAAACAAGAACAAAACGCTAACAAATCCAACTTTTAGCCCATTCTTCACAGAACCTTCACATTTCTTCTTATACATAGACATCATATCTTCTGCTGCACAGAATGAATCCATTGTTCTA